AAGGCTTGCTTTCTTCCCAACTGCCTTTTACCCAGCCCATGCTGTTCACAGTTTGGCTACACAGATGCTTTGGCAGACTTAGGCTAAAACCAAATAAACCACCATCCACTACTTCCCTCAGAAGGTCATCACATTGGTCAGGCACAATAAACCCATGCTGGCTCTTCTTAGCAACCTCATTTTCTCCCATATACTTAGAAATGTCTACCAGGAGGACTTGCACCAAACTTCCCAGGGAGTGAGATTAGGCCAGCTGGTCTGTAGCTTGCTTGACCCTCTTTTCACCTTTTTAAAAGCTAGATGGAACATTTTCATTTTTCAAGTCATCAGGAGTGTCCCTTTACCACCACAACCTTTCAAAGAAATCTGAAAGCAGACCTTGCCAGTAAAGACAGAAGTAAAGAAGAAACAGTACCTTAGTCTTTTTTTCTTCACCTTCACCACTAGGTCACTCATTCCATTCAGCAGCAGACCAACATTTTCTTAAGTCTTCTTTTTACTGATGTCCCACTTGAGGACACCCTTCTTACTGCTTTCACGTCCCTTGCTAGTTTCAGCTCCAGCCAAGCTTTGATGTCCCTTGTACAGCTCCTGTATAACTGTGCAATTCCATCCCTTGTAGCCCATCCTTACTCCACTTTCCATACAGCTTTTGCACTTGACCTCACCCAAGAGTTTCTCCATCAGCCAGTCTGTCCTCCTGCTACAGCTCTGCATTGTTTTGCATAGTGGAAGGAACCCTTTTGAAAGGCAACCAGCTTTGGCCCCCCTGACCCCCTGTGAGCTCCCACCAAACAGAACTCTGCCAGGTAAGAGTTCACTTCCTTGAAGTCCAAGGCTATTACTCTGCTACTTGTCTTCCTCTCTGCTCTCAGGATTAACCCTGTCATTTCATGGTCACTGTAGCCAAGGTTGCCATTAACTATTGCATCTGAGCACTTATTCCTGGGTAGCAGGCCTAGGGTAACCCCGCCACACTGTGCATTCAGAAAAAAGATGGTCCCTGACACACTCTAAATCTCCTGGCTTGTGTTGTGCCATGTTGCTCTTCCTGCAAAACAGAGGCAGTAAAAATCCACGTGAAAACCATAGCATCTGGTCACAAGACCTCTTTAAATTGTTTAAGGAATGCTTCATTTTCTTCCTTTCCTTGATCAAGAGGCCTGTTGCAGGTGCTTACCACAATACTCCCTTTGTTGACCTCTTTAGCCTTGACAATAAACTCCTGGCAGGTCTGTCATTGGAGCTTTTTCTATTCCCTTTACGCTCTACACATTCAGACTACTCTTCTGTGGACCTCCTCCCTTCCATTCTTCTTGCCCATGTGTTTGTTCAGCTTGTGCCCATCCCTTAGAGCACTCCAGTCACACAAGCTATTCCACTGAGCTCCTCTCATCCCAGTGATGTCACAGCCTTGTGACTTCACAGATGTCCTCTTTCTCTTGTTCATTCTGTTGCATATTTCTTTGTGGAAAAGAATCTTCAGGTAAACTCAATGACCTTGAACAGCCTAGTCTGTGCGACACTGCACTCATTATAGCTTATCTGTGGAGGATTTGGCTTCAGGATGAACGAAATCACTTGCAAATCTACCAAAACCTGCATCTCTTACAATTCAGTTCAGCTTCTCTCAGCTCTACCTCACGAGGAAAACACCAAACCAAAAAGAGCTACCCAAAAAGATGCATCCAGCATTTCCCAAAAGAAACATGATGGAGATTTAATTCCTGCTGCCTAGACTATGCTAAAACTAGAAGTTTGTTACCTTTTATCTACTGTTAGCTTTTATCTAACTGAACCGAAATATCCACAGACACGTTCTTTCATGATAAGAATGCTGGGCTTTGTAGAAAGTACTTCATCAGCAAAAATTATTATGCTAAAAAGGAAAAAATAGTAAACCCCTTATCATCATCATCCAATCACCCTGTCAGTTACAGAAGTGCTTAAGCCATCTCAAGATACATTGTATAAATAAGGTCTGTATTATCAAAACAGTCTAAAGCCAAGAGTGGTTTTATTACAGCTGGGGAAAACACCACTTATGAGGAAATATTGTATCAGCTGTGCCATGGTTTCTTAACTTCACTACAAAAAAAAAATAGAGAGAGAGAAAGAGACAGGCATCATTTTTATAATCTATCCTCACTACCACAGCCATAGCTTCGATCATAATTTTTTACTTTTGGAAATGGCAGGATTTGTTAAGCAAGTTACAGACAGTGAGTGTTTCACAAAGAAAGCACGTTTCTAACCAGACCTAACTGGTACAGAACTGCATGGATGAGTCGTAAGTGCCCCTCTCAGAGGTTTCTCTGGTCAGAGATGTCTGTGAACAGGCAGAACCAATACAGAGGGATGCTCAGACAGGAACATTCCCATCTCTTCTGACAGAAGAAGTTGGGCATTCAACTGCATTAGGTCCTTTACAAGAGAAGTCTAATGTAAAATACCATACAACATGGTTTGCTATGTACAGCAAACCAAGTATTCCAGAGAGCTTGGCGTGTCTTTGTAAAGACAACAGTTTCACCAACTAAGATTGGATTACTTTTTCCCCTCTAGCTGGCTCATAAGCCATCTGACAACTCAGCCTGATACCCAGTAACCATGCTCAGTATGGTCTTAATCAGACCCTAGGATTCATCATCAGGAACTGCAAGATCCTTTGGGCTTAGAAGAAACCTGAGCATATGCACACATTCCCAGCTGCAGCCTGGACTAACTCTGAAAAAATGTTTTCTAAGAAACCCCCCCCCAAAACCCACAGGGGTCCTGAATTTTCCAAATTTTAAGATCTTTGGTTCAAGAAGTCTCAGAAATACAATTTAGCCAGCACAAGAGTTTTATTTTGCAATTTGAATTATTATACACAATTCAGTAAAAACCCACAGGAGAAACAAATGAGAAGCTTCTGGCTTTTGGCATTTCCTTAAATCAGAGTTGAAGCACAAGGTCTCCAACTAATCCCAAAAGTAAGAGAACAACACTTGACTCTTAAAAAAAAAGTCATGTTAACACTTAAAATATCTAACTGGTTATTTTAAAGGCCACATTTTCAAATGCAATTAGAAATCAATGTTTTTGTTTCTTTTGGTATGATAAATTGCCATATATACTACACCTAACAGATAATGGAGTATCGTGTTCTCTCAAGACATGTAAAAAAGCAAACAACACTGTCTACATTATTCTGTACACTTTAAAAATGAATGCCAGAAAACAACTGTTCCCAGTGTTCAAGTAAATTTTATTTCCTTCAGACATGTTGTTGCTCTAAAAAAATAAAAATTATAAAAAAATTTTAAAAGAAAAAAGACCAAAGCAAAACTTTTCATACTTAGTATCTTGAGGCACAGATTTTTTTTTTTTTTTTTTTTTTTTTACACAGAGTGCATCATATTATAAACACTGCTGCTATCTGAAGTCTATGGCACATTGATTTATTGGGTTGAAAAAAAAAATTCTCCTATGTGTTCAGCTGCTACGATATGGCACAAAGTTAGAAGTTAATGCCGTGACTAAATGTTCTTATGCTTTTTTGCTGGCTATTTAGGGGTGCACATAAATAAAAGGCACACTTTTCCTCTCTCCTCTCAAACCATTTATGTACTACACAAGCCTAAATTCCTAGCACTGTGCCATGCCTGCTGGCCCAGTGCAAAAAAAGATTTAAGTCAGCATCCAATGCCAGTAGCAGCTCTACATGCTCAACCAATGGCTTTAGTTTAGCGTGCTACTTCCACTGCGGTGACCATTGATGAGAGGCCAACAGTGTTCCTGAAAAAAGTTACAAAGCCTAATAAAGAAAAAAATTAAGTTATTTATATTTACTTACACATATGTTTTCCAAATGTGTTCACAACGTTCAGAAAGTGCACATCTTAAAGTCATCTTTCAGTATTACAAATGTCCATGACCAATATATTATAGCAGCGCCTTGTACGACAGTATCATTAAAAAACTGTCAAAGTTTCTGTAACTGACCCTGTTTTGCAAGAGTATAATGAAAATATAAGAATCTGCTCTTAGCTAGAACTTAGTGTCCATAATGCCTTCGGTATGGTATTTTTAAATATCTGGTTTTCATTCTGTACAGCAGTCAATCTGAAAAACAGAAGGTTAGTGGTTTCACTTCTTGGCGCTTTTACATAACAAGGATGAAAGTGACCTTACAGTACATGAAGAGCCTTCAATTATAAAAGCTCCGCAAACCATTACCACACTGTTAAAAACAAAAACAGTGAAGATTTCGTTAATGAATTGTGGGTCCTTACAAAATTACTTTTGTGATTTAACAGATAACATCAATGAAATTATCATATATAAAAACAGCTCAGGTCTTAACATTAATGGTCTGACAAACGTATTTAAACAAGTATATTTGGAGTTAAGACTAGTGCTAAATTTAGCTTCTAAATTTAGATTTGAGTTTATATACTCTCAATATGCCTTAAAAAAGTCCAACTTTCAGAAGAGTCTGGAAAAACAGCAGTTTCAAGTAAGCAATTAGGTGGTGTGGCTAGAGTTACCATAAATACATACTACATACTGACTTGACAAAATTGTGTTAGAAGAAGCATAAGTAGAACTACTACCTCTGAAGGTTCTTGCTTTGGTTATCTTTTAAAAAAAAATATTCAGACTGTTACAGTAACAGTACAAGTTCATTATAAAGCCACATGCCTGTCTGCAGATGTTCTCTTATCAACTGTTTTTTACTATGCCCACTGCCAGCAATGGACATTCTGCTTGGAAAATTCACCTCCTGCTGTAAAAAGTTTGGCTGAACCTTATGAAGAAAATTCTGATAACAGACTCGACGCACTGTTTCGTTCAGTTCTTGTTAAGAGTATTTAAGAGCCTTCTCCAGCCACAGTCTTTTTGAAACACAAGGCACAAGTAGGGAGTGGACATGCCAGCAAGAAGTGATTGTCTGAAATTAACAGTCCACAGCAGTCTTCCAGTCCAGCACAATGAAACATTTTTGCTGTCCAATTCTATGCCACGTCTTCTAGATAATCTGCAACATCACTTAATTGAGAAATGGTAAAGTCTTGCGTGATGCCTTCAAGCTAGAAAAGAAACGAAATTACAAACTCAGAAAGCACAGAAACAGTATCATTTCTTCTAGTCCTTCATAGAGCATCCCATCCTCTTGGTCTCAAGCTCGTTCTGTGCAATTTCAAACTTCTTTAGTAGGTGCTCAGGCAAATCTTGAGATATAGGGACAAGACATTCCTATGCTAGATATCAAACCAGTATCTGTACATTCCTGCGCTGGACACCAAACTGGATACTAAACCACTACATTTTACATGCCTAGAAAAAGACACTGAGTTGTGCTACCGAACAATTGTTGTGATTTTTAATTAATAGAGTATCTACCTTGGCAGGAATACCTGGTGCAAAAACACAGAATATAAATAATACAACCTTAATACGTATCCTAAGAATATATGATTATGGTACATTCCTTCATGGAAGATTAAAAAAACCCACATAAACAAACAAACCCAACAAAGATCAGAAGAATGTCAAGAACAATTTTAAAAGAATCATACTTTATCACTGGCATTTGACTCTTCTGTTTCCACAGAAATTTCATCTATTTCTTCACCAATACTGATATCACTTTTTTCTGAGCGATGACTAGTACTAAAGAGAAAGAAAATCAGACATGTAGAAATAAGACTTTCTTTTCAAACATCCAGATATTAAATTCACTGTCACTTTATACCCAACATTAGATTGCAGCTTCACTTCCTAGAAAGTTAAATATGAATTCACTTAATAAACCCGTAACAACTGAAGGCTTTCTACCTAGATGAAGCTATGATAGAAAACAGATAAATACTTATGCCTCAGTCCTGCAGTTTACAACACTAATACTTTCACATCATAAGGATAAGGATGCTAAATATTACTAATGCTTTATTTTTTAGTTGAGTATTTCAGCATACACCATATTCGTTGTCTAACAGCATTAATTAAAAGTGTTAAAACATTATTAAGGGTATAGTTCAGGAAAAAAACAAACCCAAACACCTTCCATAGAAAAGCAACAACTTATCATTTTAAAGTTAGCACCTGTTTTTTAAGGAACTTACTACCCACAACAAAAAGGGATTTTTTTTACATTTATATGTAAATAATGTGTTAATACATTTTTATATATATTAATAGCAAATTGAAGTTTAAAGGAGTTCTGAGACACTGACAGACTCCATCAAGAGTGACTAGCTAAAATAATACCATATAATTTAAATACACTAATGGGTAGGCTTATAATGAATAAAATACCATGCCACTGCAGTGTTATCCTTCTCTTACCTGTTGAAGTCATCGGCATACTCATCATCATCTCCATTGCCTAAATAATTTTTAAAAGGTATTAATCAAACGAGTTTTCTTTTCAGGAAATGCCAGAAAATAATCCATTCTTGCACCAAAATACAGGGGTTTGATGGCCAGCAAAAGTGCAAGTAGATAAAATCACTTGTGCTGATTAGGAAAATTAGCATGTTTGTTATTAATTAATCTCAGTCTCATTTACACAAATGGTTTTGAAATTGAACACACATTTTCACGATGTCAACTGCATTGCTGAAGACAAAGTTTAAATACCTGGCAGCTCTATTTTGAAAGAAAGCTGATATTTCTTATATCACATCATCTTCATATTGCTCCTAAAGCTTGCAAGGGAACTTTCAAAGGTGTGGAGGGCAAGTAAGCATGCCACTGAAAACCAGAAAGACTTATCTGGCTATCTTTTTCCACAACTACAAAGCTCTTCTTTTCTTAGAAATCCAGACAACAGTATTTATCACTTGATATTAGCAAATGTGTGCATGGAATTAATCAAATTTTTTCTCTATGTTTAAAATACTAATCCACACACAAGAGATCAGTTTTCACTTTTCTGTATTCCTTTAGAATAGATCTTGCTCTAACTGCAGTAAATTTCAAAACAGTAATAAATAGAGTGACAGAAGTAAAAGTCAAATATTTTAGTCTAATACAGGTATTTCAGCTTCTCAGCCTCCCTTAAGAAGCCAAGTCAGAACTTACAATCCAAAAGATCAGTTTCTTCATGCTTAGCAGTTACTTGCCTAATTCTAGGGATCCCAGTTTTGCATTCACCAACCGCAGGTCTTTCAAAACAGAGTTTCTATTCAAATCTGTAACAAACCAAAAGCATTCATATCAGAAATGTGACTTATGACTTTTAATAAGATCCCATATCCATCAACCATTCATAACATTCATTCATTCTTTATTCTTTTACAATAGTATTACATAATTTTACCGTACAGTAATACTATATCTGATTTTCAGGTCTGAACTCTGTTAACATGAAACATGAGTAGCAAACAGGGATGATCTCCCAGTATTCAGGATCAGGTTTTACAATATGAAAGCTAATATAATTAATTAAAGAATGTGTGCAAATAATCTATATAAAGGATTAAGTTAGTTTCAGATAAAAACTGAGCAGTAGAATATTATACTCCTGAAAATTATTTTATAAAAAAAAAAGTGTAGATCAGTTTTTCATATTCCAAAATATAAAATGCCCAAACAGTAGCATAATATACCAAAACCATCATGCGATCATTTAGGGAAAAAAGCATTATTATAAAGCACATTATACCCAGAAGGGGGCAACAGACTTCACCACATTTGCATCTGAACATGTAGATCATTCATTACATCACAGGAAATCTCCGCCACATTCACCAAAACACAAAAATACATGAAAACTTACTATCAGACTCCTTTAGCGAAGGTGCACCAGTCAGGGAGCTTAACCCACTTTTTAGAGGTGGTGCATCAGAAAGGGATGCTAGACCCCCTGCTTTATTAGCTTCAGTTTTCCTAAAATAAATCAAATAAATGAGTACTTCACAGAGCTGTAAAATGTGGGTAGTGACTTTCTTTTCTGCCATTTACTAAGTTCTCACAGAACTAGAACATGAATATTTAGAGCAAAGAGCAAGGGGAAAGGAGTATTCATTCTGCAATCCTAAAACCAGTAGGCAGTTTACGGTCACAAGAGTCAAGCATGACATTCAGCAAGAAAGTCACTTCCTCACCTATGCAAAGACTTCTGCCTGCCATCTTTCACAGACAGAGTTCCTGCACCTTCCTCAGCATCACTAGTTATATCAAGGTGCCTTTCATTATCCACATGTGAATGCAGCCAAAAGAAGAAAGATTCAGATATAAGTTCATTTGGTTACTACCTATTCCATTCATATATTTGAAATACTACTTCCAAGTAAGGGACGAAGAAACACTATTAGAGACATCAAGACTTTCACATTTAGTATTACCAGAACTGCTTGTTACTGTGATTTCATTCCTATTAGTAATGGACAACATTTGAATCATTCATTTTATCACCAAAAAATCATTTATACCTTCACATATTAAAACACTTCAAGATCTTCGACAGCAATTCAGAGACCAAGTGGCAATGAGAGCTTGGATCGTGTCTTACTCTCCTTAGTAACTGCATGTCCCCTTTCTCTCTAAGGCACTCTTCTTACAGGAATGAGCAAAGCTTCCATAAAGAATTTATCTTTTTGCAAATCAAGCAATTCTGGTGTCTCTCCTACATGCTGCTCATCCCCTGGGACTCCAGTACATCAGCACATACCACAAAGGATTTCACCTGAAGAATATGTTCTTTTTTCTCCTCTAGAGGAGCTGCCAGGAGGGTAGAAGCAAAAGACTCATCAGAGACAACTCCGTTACAATTAGTTGCCAGCTCATTTATTATTAATATACTCAGCAAACCTTATTATGGAACATTGCTTATATTATCCTTTATTTATCCTTGTTTTATTGAACAATTAAGTGTCTTTTTCTTGGATGGTCTTTTTAAAGAAACCCTATTTAGCCAATTTCAAAGTGAACTTCCCTTCCTGTCATATGAAAACGCTCAAACAATAAGAAATTAGTAAATATTGTTATTATCCAAAAGTTTTTCCAGCCTCTTCCAGTTTTCCCAATGTATTTAATTTATTTTATGGCAACACAACCACCTACTACAATAGTTAGATTTTGGATAAAGGCTATTTAAACGAGCTCTCGAGTAAGGAGGAATAACTGCAGGTGGATGCATCTTTAAGAGTGATATTTCTAATAAGAAAAAAAGAAATATTATAGTAGAGTTATTTGTAACACACAGTATTTTCCAGAGAAAAATCGCTCCTCTTTGAGGAAAAAAAAATCTGCTCCGAGTAGATAAATTCAGCAAAAGCTGTATTATAAATAATCTTTCTCAAAAAGTCCATTAATTCATTAAAGAAACCTAGTTTACCTGGCATGGTTGTTTTGTGCTGTACCAGAATGATTCCCTTCCATGAGTAAGTATCTACTGTAGTGATAATTATAAAGTTTATGCTGTTTGGCCTGCTATCAATGTAGCTAGAGGAGAAAGCCAATGTGAGAGGCGCTACTGTCAAACTGACTTGCAAACGCTTCTACAGCCTCTTCTGGTAGCCTCTACTAAGCTAAAGTAATTCTCCAATTACTCAAGCACAGCAAAAGTACACCAATAAATGATCTTGCAGCATATCTCTATAGAGATGTCTAACTAAGCTTTGAGATAACTTGACAGGATAACACAAAAATAGGTTTTTCAATTTTTGTAACAAGGCTGCTGTGTAGTTCAACTACTAGGTTGTTTCAAATGGTATTTGTCAGATGATAACAACAAAAAACGTCCTTCAGAAGTGTCTGCAAAACTGGCATATGCAGAAATGACAACACTTCACTGAAAACGTAAGTGCATAGAAAAGGTGTTGCAGTGTTAAGAGGAAACCCTCGACTGTGAGAAAACTTTCTTTATTCTCACAGCTATGAAGCCAGTTTACAGATTCATCAGACTTTTTTGTACTCCTTACAAAGCCACACAGATCTCTAAAGTGTTACGCCTGTCATTGTTCACTTCCTTTAGTGCTGATCATCACTGCAGCTCTGCCACAAGAGGAAAACACTGATGTCTGTGCCTCAGACACGTTCATTCGACCAAAGAAATATGCTGGGGGCATTACCTAGTCTAACCCATGCACCTTAAAGTGATACAAGTTTTCCCACTCAATGGTACATCCAAAAGATCCCAGATGACATTGTGCATTAAAGAACATAATCACAGAAAAGCACATTTTGGAAACAAAACAACACAGATCTAAACACACTTACAGCAGCTAGCTCTCAAAGGTCTGCAAGCATATCGAGGACAAAATAAACCTGTATTAAGTAGGATATCCATGTTGCTTACCAGCCATATGTTCTTTCTGGTTTGGGTATAGGATCATCAAAAAAAGAATCTCCCTCTACATCATCTTCATCCACACCTGGATCACTTTTTTCTTTGGTATTTAAGTCTTTGTTTTCCAGTTGAGGATCTAGTTTTGTTTCGTTAGGCAAGAAGTGAATGCTTCTTTTGCTTGCTTCCCCTGATGCGATACTTGTATCGCTTTGAGTGGTTTCAGCAGCCTTGAAAGATAAAAGAAAAGCCCTCACTAAAAGGAATAAACATGTCTTATAACATTGTACGTGGCAATATAAACCCACAATACATAATATACACCTATCATCACTTTTTAGAAAGTTCTCAGATTTATTAGTACTTTTCAGAAATTTCTTAGTATCATCAGGAATCACACCAGATGAAAGAAGTTGTTTTAACACTTTAGAGGGGAAGTGTTCTTTATTGCTGCTGCCATTAAAAAAATCTTGTTCCATTCTCTGCATTGCTTTGCTATCTGCATAGCCTCTATTATAAAAGGAATGAATTTTAAAAGATGTTAGTCATCAAATAAAGAAATCCAGACTGGTTCTTACCTCCTAGCTTTTAATATAGAAGACTTTATTTTACACCTTGAAAGTTACATGATGGTTTAATGTTGCTTTGCAACTCCTCTATAAAGAAATGTTAGTTACAGCCATTGTCTTCAAAAGAAAACAACGTAAACCCATGCAAATCACTCTAACTTCCACATTAAACAATAGTCTCTGCAATATAATATTGTTATAAAGTGGTAATCATAAGACAAATGCAGTTAATGACCCCTTCTCCCTCCAAATACTAATTAAAAAAACCACAAACAAGGTACTGCAGCAGAATATAACTTTCAGTCTCTGCACCACGCTTATGTCTCAGTCCTAGAGATACTCAATCATGTAAGGAGTACTCTGTATGCTAACTTTAATATTAAGTAATACACTTCAAGTTACGTCTTTGCAAAACTTACAGGTCCAAGGAATAATACTCAAGTTTACCTAGATGAAGATGTTGTGAAAAAATAGACTGTTATTTTTACATAGCATCTTTCTACCTACCACATGGTACTGCAAT